AGGCCCTGGACTCCCTCCCCAATCATGTAATGGGGTAGGATCTCCATTGCACATTTTGTATCACCCTGTATGCCCTTCACTAGTTGCAGCTCATTTTGAAGCTTGACCTCCTTCACTTTCACTCTAATTAACATCCAGGGTCAGATTTTCAACCAGAGAATATCAATTCCCCAAGTAACTTTTTCCACCAGGCCCAGTGCAAGGAGGCCACCCACCTACTATGCTGTCCATATATGGAGCCCATACCATCATCTTTTTGTCCTAATGCCAGCATCTAAGCTTGATAAAGCCAGCAGAAGTATACTCCTTGCTTCATATTACAATGACACCTTCATTTTTCTGTGTAAATTTATCCCTGTGGCAGCCCTTCTTCCATAAGTGTGGAACTAAATACGTCTGGGTTACAAAGAAATTGAAAATTGGTAAGACATTTGTACTAATGATTCAGCTATTATTTGCAGCTAGAGCGAGCATGTTGAAGAAATTATTTGACCCATCCCAGGTGGATTTCATCAGCTTCAGAGGCAGACCTCATGGTGTTGAACTGAAGACAGAACTTGGTCCTAAGACTTTCTGTGAAAGAGCTGCAGAGGGGAAATAACTAAACTATGAATCATTTTTCTTCCACAGCCTGTGTAAAGCCGAATAGGATTGGAAGAGTAAATTAAACCTCCATGTACCCTATGGAGAAGAAATATATAATCACTCAATTATGAGATTAATTAGATTTATTAACATGAGGTGGGTAGTAGGGCAATACAGTAATGGTTTACTTAAAATATATCAGTAGCTAACTAAAATGTATAGACCAGAAATTGAAACATGCTAGTAAACAGGATAAGCCTAAATCACAATTAATATATCATTTTTAGAAATGGGTATTACCTTGGATAGTGTTATCAAAACTTGTCCAGCCAAGATTTGATACAGATAGAAGGAAATTTCATTCATTTTGACAAGCTTCTTGTATATGGGAATGGTTTTTTCTCTAAGAGCAAGGAGAAACCATGCCCCTCTCATTAATAATATCAGTACTTTCCACTTAACTTCTGCCTTGCCATCTTGGAGGAAGACAGGAAAAACAACAATGTTTGACAAAACCTACGTCACAAAATGTAGAAAAGCAGAGAAATGTGAAATGACTACAGAAGCCAGAAATCCTGACAGAGGTAGGGTGAGAAGGGATACGCAACAAAGAAAAAAGTTGCCCAAATTGTCTTTGCTGGATGATTTGGGACTAAAGTCATTGCAAAGAATTTTAGGGTAAATCTGGAGTAAATAGGCTAGGAAGGTACCAAATCCCATCCTCTTCTGGGGCTTCATTTGCTCACTCTATCCTTGTTATTCATACTGAGAGTTTATGAATTACTAAGCTTTGCCCTTTTATATGCATGTTTCATTGCATGTTTATAAAACTTAGCACTAATAGGAAGTTAACCAAATATTTGTTAAATCCTTGCATAAAGACAGCTTTACTGATTCTTAAATGCAAAAATAAGCCATCTTTTCCCAAACCAAGTATTTTATGTATTTTTCTTAATAGGTAAGAGTATGAAAGAAAGTTGATAATGATATCTGGGTTGTGAATACTGAAATAGAAAATCTTCATTCAAGTAAACTAGCCAAAGTCCTCAGAAGAGGGCTTACATAGGACTTAATATGCTAGATAGACCTTGGACTAGTCCTCTGTAAGGAATAAGGAGATCATTAGGCTGGCAGGAATAAAGACATGCAAAAGCCTGTATGGGTGAGTGCTTAATTTAAGAGTGAAGTTACACATTGCACTCAGACCATATTAAAGTTATGGAATGTTAAGCAGTGTTGAAGTTAAAACATGCTGTGAGCAGTCACACATTAAGCATTAATATCATTTCTTGTCTGCACAGCTCTGACTTGCTACTAGAGGGTTGGAGCATGGCAAGGAGCCAGGACACCTGGGCTTTATCCCTGCTCTGGTGGGCAGGGAGGGGGAATGGGGGGTAAGGAGAGGTGTATACAGGGATGCTGGAGGATTGCAAATTGCTCGTTTTATCTCTGTGGGGCAGACTGAAGGTAGCCTAACACAAACTAGGTACCATGGCTCAAGAATTAACTTGCCTGAAGTGATATAACTTTGAGATGCTCAGAGGGCACATAGCATGAGTTAATGA